TTGTGTTTGTCTAAAGTTTTTACTACTTGTTCTTTTTTCATGGGAAAATTTAGAGATTTATCTGTCAGCACGTTCATCACAGATTAGCATTTTGTCTCATTACATAGTTTTCCATGATAATAAGTCTGCAAACACTGATGATCTCCAACAATACGCTTGACCTCTTACATGTTCTGTATTTTTGCTGTTGATGCTTTCCAGTTCAGCATGCATCACTGAAGATATAAACAAAGCAGAAAGGATGTACAGCAGGCCTAAGTGGAATATTCAATCAAAACAAGAGATGTTCTTTGATGATGTCTTGTGCTAGGTACTTGTGTTAGTTTTGGCTGGGGTTGGGTTGTTTTTCTTCATAGTGGCTGATATGGAGTTTTTGATTTATGCTGGATACAAGGTAGATAATACACAGATGTTTTTGTTATTGTTGAGCAGGGTTTACACTGAGCTTAGGTCTTTTCTGCTTTTTGTACTCCAGGAAGCTGAGGATGCTTGGGAGACTGGGAGGAGAGACAGCAGGGACAGGTGACCCCAGCTGACCAAAGGGATATTGCATACCATATGACATCATGCTCACTGTATAAAATGGGGAAAGAAACACAAAGGGGAGGGGGAAGATTTGGAGTCATAGTGTTTGTATACCAATTAACCACTACGCATGATGGGGGCCTAGGCTCCTGAAGGTGACTGAACACCTGCCTTCCCACAGGAAAAAGTGAATTAATTCCTTGCTTTGCTTTACTTCTGTGCACAGTTTTTGCTTCCCCTATTAAACTCTGTCTTAATCCATGAGTTTTGTAACTTTTGCCCTTCTGATTCTCTCCCCAGTCCCACTGGTGAGAGAGTGAGCAAGCAGCTGCAAAGGGCTGTGTTTAAACAATGCCAGTACTGTAGGGGCACCAGAATTGGACAGACTCAATATTGTACTTCAGATTCATAAATAGGAGAACTGAAATTATACTGTGCATGCATTTGCATATCTACAGTACATAGGTGAAAGACAAACTTAAGCCAACATACTGCAAAGCTTCCAGAACTATGTTTCATTATGCTGGCATTTTTTCAGCCACTGAAACCATTACATGGTGTACAGGTAGTGGTGTACAGGAGGATATATTTCTTTTCATCTTCAGAGATTTTCTTTTGTAGATGACTAGAGCACATTGTATGAAGCCAGCATACCTCACTGCAGGGTAAGGTATGGAGCTATGGAGCTATGGAGCACCTGGGCTTTTTCTCAATTAACCACAGTCCCCAAGGTGACATGACATTGGGGAAAATGGCAGGCAGTAACAATTCTGGAAAAAAATATTTGCTCTGTTTAAAGAAACTTCAGTAACTTCTGGGAGCTTTATTAACTTCACCATGAGCTTCAGATGCATAAATTATTTTACTTCTTGGCACACTGAAGAGACCATAATAATAAGGTAAGGTCAATCTGTGCTTTGTATTTGTTGGTCTCTACAACTCTATGGGGCTTGATGGGATTCATCCAAGAATCTTCAAGGAGCTGGCTGATATCTTTGCAAAACTTCAACTGATGATTTTTCAGCTGTCTTGGGAAACTGGAGCAATCCTAGCTGACTGGAAACTGCCAAACTTTGTCCTGATTTTTAAGAAGGGTAAGAAGGACCCCAGAAACTACAGGCCTGTAATTCTTATATCAGTGCCTAGTAAAATCATGGAAAAGATTATTCTGGGTAGTATTGAAAAATACCTGGAGAACAATGATGTCATTGGTCGTAGTTTGAGCCAGCACAGTTTGATGAGGGGAACATCCTGCTTGTCAAATCTGATTTCTTTCTACAACAGAGGAAGCCGCCTGATTGATCTAGGAAAAGCAGTTAGTGTAATCTTTTTAGGCTACAGAAAAGCTTTTGATATCATCTCTCATCTCACAGGATCCTTCTGGACAAAATGTGCAGCCCACAGCTGGATACACACATCATGTGATGGGTGAGCAAGTGGCTCATGGGTCAGGCACAAGGGGTTACAGTGGATGTGGTGACATCAGACTGGGGACCCCACTGTCACTAGTGGGGTTCCACAGGGCTCCATCTTTGCCCCTCTACTCTTCAACATCTTCATTAACAACCTGAATGCAGGACTTGAAGGGATACTAAATAATGTTTCCAGCACTAAATTAGGAATAGCTGTTGAGAGGCCCTACAGAGAGACCTTGACAAAGGTAATCACCAACAAGGTGATAAATTTAACAAGGGAAAGATGCTGCATCTGGGTCAGTCCTGGATGTACAAACACACTGGGGAACGAGAGGCTAGAGATTAGCGATGTGGAAAGGGACCTGAGGGTCCTGGTCAGTGGAAAGCTGAACGTGAGCCAGCAGTGCCCTGGCAGCCAGGAGGGACAACCCTGTCCTGGGGGGCATCAGGCACAGCATCACCAGCGGGGCAAGGGGTAGAATGGGTTTGGGTACTACCAGTAATATGAGAAGAACAAGAAACTGTTAGAGAATATCCAAAGGAGGGCAATGAGGATGGTGAGGGGCCTTGAGGGGAAGCTGTATGAGGAGTGGCTGAGGTCACTTGCTCTGTTCAGCCTAGAGAAAAGGAGACTGAGGGGAGACTCACTGTAATCTTCAACATCTTCATTAGGGGAAGTGGAGGAATGGGGACCAATCTCTTTGCTTGTGACAAAGGACAGATCTTGAGGGAATTTTATGAAACTGCATCAGGGGAGGTTTAGGCTGAATATCAGGGAAAGGTTTTTCATCCATGTGGTGGCTGGGCACTGGAACAGCTCCCCAGGGCAGTAGTCACAGCATCAGCCTGCGAGAGTTCAGAAGACATTTGGACAAGTGCTCTCAGGCCCATGGTGTGATTCTTGGGATGTCCTGTGAAGGGTCAGGAGTTGGACTTGATGAACCCGATGGGTCCCTTCCAACCCAGCAGATTCTGTGATTCTGTGATTCTATACAGTCCCTTGAAAAATACAACAAAAGGTGAAGCTAGATAGGCATCTTAGTAGACATATTTATTACAGAAGCTGTCCTCTACTCAAATTAGAAAATACTGGGGATATAAGGTGACATAAATAATTGCTCTTTCTAACTTTTCATACTAATATTTGCAGCTGTCATTATTATATGTACCAAAATTCTTTGGTTTTGAGGGTTGTTTTCCAGGGAGCCTATTGAAAATAGTTTTGTTTTTCTTTCTCAGTCATTTACATTTAACAAATATAGCTGATGTAATAGTTTTTTGTTCCTTATAGCAGAAACACATTTTCTCTGATCAGCTATTCATCAGAGTTGTCAGTTCATTAGTGATGAATTATTGGTTCGTTGGTAATCACAATTACAGTTTTTTGTTTGTTTATTTTTACCTAGGCCATGATTTAATTGAAGACCTTCAAAAATTATCTGACATCCAAGAAGGAAAAAAACAAGTATATATATTTTACATAGTAAAATCTTATAATTTTTAGTATGTGGGCATTTCATTTTCAAACACTGAAGAAAAATCCCCTTCTAATACCATTTCTTAGGACCATAGCTTGAAACAAACCAGAAAGAGTTTGAATCTGGCTATATCATTATTTAAGCAGCTTTACCCTTTGGGTAACACAAATACCACTTTGTATTTTCTCTCTGCTCTGTCTGTCTACAACAAGACTGAAAAAAATTAACATTACAAAATAAATGAGTGTTTTGTTCTGGCCACACAAATGCAAGATCCCAGTGAACATAATTTTGAGGAATGCTGTTGTCTGATTTTCATTTATAAGTGTCACATATACTTATATAGAGAGCCAGGGTGCAGCAATAGCAGGTCATATGAAAAGCTGCCCATGATAGGTATTTTTGACAGCTGAAACCAAGCAAAATCTAAGAGAAGAGTCCCAAAAACATGTAAGATGCATTTTAGCCAGAGAAAATATTCTTTTGAATATCTGTTTTTATGTCCTTTTGGGGAAGAAAATACTATAAATTCTTTTCATATTTTCATATATATTCATATAAATTCATATCACTATAAAGACTTTTCATATTTTCCTTCATTTTTTATTGAGGGCTGCATAGAATACCATTGTCTCTAGGGAAAAGATTTTGCCAGGAAGATGTGCAGATGGAAGGAACAAAGGTCCCACAAGGGAAAAAAAGTTATCTACATTTTCTGGCAATTAAAGAGAAGTCTTAGCTGTAGATTTCAATCTGTAGCTGCTTTTATGTTATTTTTATTCTTCTCTTGAAACAAGATTGACCACCTTTGCTTTCAAATTAATTTTCCCAGGGCTCCTTGTCATTCTATTGCCATTTAGTCTACTAACGTCTCTTTGACTATAAAATATCTGGAACCAAAATTAACATTGCTGTTCACTAAGACATTTATGACCACATCTAACTGTCCATAATAGCCCTGATAACCGTGTTGGAGAAAGAGAAAAAAATGAAATCCAGTCCTATGATTTAACCTAGTTAAAATATGTGTGTCACAAGTGTATACTACTTGCACTGATCTGGTAAGTACAGTAAGAAAGTGTGGCAGATGTCTATTTTGCTCTGCAGTTTTGCAGTTTCATCACATAACCCTTTATGAGGAATTCTGATTTTATAGGGAATTCTCAGGGTCACAGATGTTAGCTCGCTTAGAGTTTTCAATTCATTACCAAAGTACACAAAGTTTGTAGAAATGCATGTAGGAGTAATAGTTGGACTCAATGATCTTGGAGGTATTTTCCAACTTCAATGATTCTTTGTTTCTATGAACAGTTATTCTATTCCTCATATTTCTGTATTCTGCAATATTTATGCTAGAACCCTTAGCAATAGTCACACAACCTTGCTTTCTGCTTTGGACCCATTTATATAGATTTCAATTTGGTGAAATAGGAGAGCTAATGTTAACATTAATCACTGTTTTTCAGCTGTCTTGGAGCTGTATTTATTAGATATTTTCTAGGCAAAGTGGAAAGTTTCTGCATGATCAATAAACATTTAAGCAATGGTAGTTTATATTCTTTTCTTTTTTTCCTCCCAACAGTTCATTTAACACCTGAAGGTGATCTGTTGTAGGATATCCTGATTAATAGTATTTCTGTTCCTTTGGAAATCTGGAGCTCAGCATGAAATGAACTACTTGTAAAATGAAGACAACGAGATATAACTTCTTCAGAGGTAGATAAATAGACAGTTAGATAGATCAGAATAAATAATATAATACATATTTCTTACACACATACATATATATATCCTTATATATATATATACAATGGGACTGTATCCCTATGCCCCCTTATGCATTGGCTGCCAATTACATTTCTCAGGAAAACTGCCATTGTTGAGGGAGCAACTTATGCAGAATTTTCTCCAAAGCCAATGCTGAAATACATTTAAAGGATTTTAACGCAGATACTGATGCTGTCAAGTTGTTAAAGGTTTGAGTTTTTGGTTCATTTGAAATTAAACTCTGACCATTAGAGCAATAGGAGGTTTTTAAGCTATCTTTCCAGACATTCAAGGTTCAGTGGTCCATATCTTTAGGCCCAAACAGTTGTATTTATTATTATATAATTTTTTTTTCCTTCCTGGTGTTTGTCTTTTGAATTTCCTTATGAATGGCATTACCTGTATGAATTTCAACATTATGGTTGAGATGGCAGCCCATATTACAATTACATTGGTCATGGAAGTGGAAGTAGTCTTTGCTTCTCTATCCATACTCATCCAGAAGCCTAGCTTTTTTTGACTTCAGCACAGGTCAGTGTTTTTGATCTAGCTGGGAGATAGGACTCCACAGTCAGACTATGAGACACCGTAGGCTGATGTTGTTCTGAACTTCCATTCTTTTTCTGTTACTCTCCAGGGAATCTGCTGCACTGTAAGTTACGGCCAAGAGTGAGTATTTCCCAAATGGATCCCTCATGAATTATTTGATTTTTCTAAATAGACTATAAGTTTTTAAATTCTATTAAAGTGGGGTTTTTCCTATCCATAGGATTTCCATAGTATATCCATAGGATTCTTTCCACATGAAACAATACGTGTCAATCTCCACTAGCTATTAGATGTATAGTGCTTTTTACATAATATTTTCAGAAAAACTGTCCTATAATTGTGCAATATGATAACACAGATCAACAGCAATTCTTTACTCAAAAATTATGGCACTTCAACCTGGGGCCAAAAACTCAAAATCCTTTGTCTATGAAACCAGAAATGTAATTTTTGGAACCATTGAAAATGCAACTTTATTTTATCTTAATTTGTGATATTACAATAAACTTATACTTAGGGAAACCAGGTTTAAGTATGAAGGGAAAACTTGCTGAACACAATACTTTAATTCTGGTAAGGAAAAATATCCATAAATACAGGGAAGAAAATCTTTTAGATATTGCAGGAGAAAAGTACAGACTGTGTGACCTAGAAGTTTATCCTTATCTGTAATAATTTAACCAATGTCTTGATAATGTTTTATAGCAAAGACTGAAGTGTTACATTTAAATATCCCATAAAAAAAGACAAGTCTTTTGCCCCCCTTTTAATGGGCTGAGTCAGTTTTGGAAAAAATATAACTTCCAAAAGTTTTTTATGTCCAGCCCTGTAGCTAAGAAGCTCAGTGCAAGTGTCCTAAAAAGCAATGAAGTCAGATTTCCTTAGATGAGCAAGGTGTATATAATATGTCAAGATTTTTTTCAAATGCATGTATATTTTTCATTCATGATTATGCATCTAGAAATTCTTATTGACTCAAAGAAGTTTTTTTATATATTTGGATATATTATATTTATATATATACACACATAGCAAATTATACACTTCATTATTTGATTTTATTTATGGGGTTTTCTTTTTGATGACATATAACGAGTTAAGGAGATTTTCTCCTGTAAAGGAGAAATCTTAATTCCTATTACAGCCTGAACACATGCTGTTATCTTACTTTCTCTTGCAGCTGTCAGTTACTGATATATTGGGCTGGTCCTTGTGTGCTATCAAGCCCATCATCTTTTTTAGCTAAAGTATGAAATGTTCGATGTGAAACAGCAAAATTCTGAATGACTCTGATATAATGATGCACTGATGCACTTCTGCTGGGAAATGTGCCTTTCAGTGTAGAAACTTGTCTTGGTTCTAGAAGACAGGTGTCTGCTAGGGAGGGCAGGAGCCTCCCTTGGAATGAAAGAATGTAGACCCACTCCCTCCAAATTATTATAATTCTGAAATCAAGGGGCTTTCAGGAAGAGATCTGGGGATAGGAATAACAGTTCTTTACTGGTATAACCAGGCAAACAAACAAACAATAACTACAGCAATAACAAGAACACAGAACCAGGGACCCCGGGACAGCTTTCTCGGCTGAGATGGGATGGGGGAGAGGTTTTGTTTTCACAAACAAAAAAGTCCTGGTGCTCCTGCAGGGCTCCGAGGAACACTCAGCTGGAACAGCAGTGATGAGCTGAGATCCTGGGCCGGTGGCTGAGGTAGATCAGCAGCTCCCCGGCGGTGGCTGGCACTGCCACACGTCCTGGTAGGGCAGGGGGTGTGAGGCCAGCCAACAAAGAGGGGAGAAGGAGAAGAAGCAGCAACTCCGTCTGGGTGATGGCGAAATCCCCTTCTCTCCACCGCAACAGCTCCGCGCCCAAAGTGTCTTTCTCCGAAGCTGAAGAAAAGCCCGCCAGACTGTCCCCACCCTCCTTTTTCCTGCCCCCTTCTCCCCCTGGGCCCGGCCACTCTGGAAACATCCCTGAGACATCCTCTCTTGGACATATCCTAAAACTCCCTGGGAAATTTGCACTTAACAGCTCACAAGTTGCAGGCAACTACTCTACCTGCTAGTTTCCCTTTTTGGAACATCTCTCTCATATTTACATATTTACTAGCTAGGCAGAGGGTTCTCTGACTAGCTAGTAGTAAGGGCTGATGTGTTTTGATGACAAACTTCATTAAGTCTGGTCAGTGAAAGCAAGCAGCACTGCTTTACTTGTAGCAGGTTGCTCTGTCTGAGCAGGGATACAGCAGCTCAAACTCTGTCTGCCTTACAAGGTATCAGTGATAGATTGAGCAAGGATGGTCTTATCAATGACAAGATCAAGCATTCTTGCTGATTTTAGTGCTGAAGAATGCTGAGACCTGCTTGACCATACCATCATACCCAGTTGTGAGAATATGCAAGAAAGATGCTCCCTGACTGAGCCTGGGAGCAGCAAGGATGTGCAGGCCTTCATATGGAAGTGAGAGTCAAAATTTTCAAACAGCAAAAATCAGAGTTGATAACATCTTTTCCAGCAGCAAAAAATATTTTGCTGAGTAAACATGACAACTCAGAGTCTAAAAATGTATAAAATAACAAAAATGACCATCACTTTGATCACTACAAAAGGTCAGTCCCATTTTTGCACAGCAAGGACTTCAAGCACACCTTCCGAAGGTGAAAGGATTTAAATAAATCATTTAATATATTTGTATAAATACATTTGGTTTTCCATCCTTACTTCTGTGGATAAGATCATATAAAAGTCCAATTAGGCCTGTATAATCTTTAGACATAAACTGCTGACTAAGTCTGGGGCTAGGACTGGATCCAGCCTCATTTAGACTCCTCTTTAAGGAGTTCGTAGAGCAAGGGGACTCTTTCTAAACCATGTGGCTCAGTGGAAAGTCTTTGCTAATAGAATTTGTTTGAAGGTCCCACTCTGCCTGCCACTATCCTGTAACACCTGGCTTGCAGCATTTAGCTGAGTGGGAACCATGCCCAGCTCTCTTCAGAGGGTGGGGGCATGCCAGCACCAGTCACTGCTAGCATGAGTGATGCCACACCTGAGCCTGTAGGGCAGCACCCCAGCTGCACAGGGGACACTTCGTCAGGTCCGGCTAAGGCTGACCTTTCTGAGTAAGTCAAAGGCTGACTGATGTCAACAGCTGTGACAGTGACGAGAGGCAACCTTTGCAAAGGAAAAATCTGGGATCAAACAGATTCCCTGAAGTCAGCGCTACAACCTGCCTTCGCCCTTCATGAACAAAACTTTCTTCTAGCAGCAGTAAGAAGAAGCTCTTGAATTTTGTGTTGGGCAGTAAAGGCCACAGTCTCTGCTTTATGACAAGCAGTCCCAACTAAGACACGAGTGTCCAAAGTTATCTCAGCATTTTTTTAACACTATGCTTGCCTAGAAGACTGAATGAAGAATAGTTTTTACTTTGGATACTCACAATGAATTCATCATTAAACTGAATTTGTTACTGAAAGTAATGGAGATTTCAAATCTGCATACCTACAGTGGAACAACCCCTGTGTTGACCCAAATGCCAAGACCTGCATTTGTTTAGTGCTAAATCTCATCATTTTTAAAGATAAATATGCAACAGATAAAACCTCAGACTCATTTAAGATCACGATCAGTCTTTCATAATTGTTGAACCCAGTTTTCTGTCAAGTAAAAACTGAGAGTTTCTTTTTCATAAAGCTGAATGCAGGCTGTCCTATTATGCCTTTGGTGATGTCTCTCTTCCAGATCCAGTGACAATGAATGGAGAAGGCACTGAGGTACTTACGGGGACTGCTAGGTGTTTTCCGTTTTAGTATTTACTTTGTGTTTTCCAGTCTGCTTTCCTCAGAATTACTAACATATTGGTTTTTTCCTTAGCACTGGCTATGTGGCAACATAACCATATCTTAATATAGGGCTTAAGGTAAATTATACCTGGATAGACCCCCAGTTTAGTCATCAGCAAATATCATATTCAGTATCTGATTCATTCCACTCTGAGGTGAATCAGCCACAGGAGGTGCAAATCTCAGTAATTATCTCCAAAAAAGCAACAAAATCTGAATGTTTGGTATCACTGAGAGTATCTTGTCATCCTGGAAATGCTTCTGCACAAAATCTATGGGTCTACAGTACTTTTGTAGATCAGCTTTGAGAACAAAGATCCTGATGCACAGAAACTGGTCCCTCAGACGGCCTGACAGTTCCTTCTCCTGTTCAGCCTATCCTTAAAGTATGTTAGCTAAAATAACATTCAACTTCCAGCTTTTCTGCAGTTAAAAGCACTCAAACATAGGGGCTGAAATTCTTTTCTGCTGGGCTTGGGATGAGTGTGAAATAAGTTTTGTCCAGATGTGATCTCATTTCTATACAAGACTGCTTGTCTGGTGCCAAGGAATAAAATTACTTGGTAAAGATTGAAAGGTGAAGACTTAATATCCTACTAACAATATGAGGCAGAATAGCAACAGATGGTTTAAAAATTTTATTTACAGACTGGGAGATCTGTTTTTCACTCAGTATACAGAAGATCTGTGTTAACATAAAAATATGAAAACCTTCAGCATGATTTAATGGAATTTAAAAATATTCAATCTTCATATTTTTTTTAATTTTTAAAATATGTATTTTACAAAAAAAAAAAAAAAAAAAGAAAAAATAAACAATTACCCTGAGGAGTTTTCAGCTGCAGACAAGGAAAATATTCCACCAATTAAAATCTTGCACGTGATTTTTGAATACAAGAAGCAAAGCAATAGCCAAAAGTTGTAAGTAGATGCTAGTCATAATATATGCAGAGAGGAGACTCTTTGAATGACTCAGTAAAAAGAACAATGATTTTCTTAACTAGGCTTATGCTCTCAATCTATTGACTATAGACATATGTAATCCAGATGAACTTCAGTATCAGAACTCCTTGAACTATGGAAAATTTCACTTTTTTAATTCAGTGTATTCTAGTACCAAAACACATGAAAAAAAAATTATGGGAAATAACTAGAAAAACAGTTACTCATGGGTCAAGACTTGGACATGTTTGTTTACATTTAAGTGCTTGAATAGCTGAATTTACAGCACAGGAGCATGTTTTCATCACTGTCTTATAAAAACATACACTTGAAACAATGGGAAGCCATAATCATGGTGGAAGATATGATGCTGTTGTTTTCAGATGAACTTTCTTAAGCACTGAAATGCCACTCCAATAGCATCAGACTCAGACATAAAGAAAAATGCTTATTTTTCTTTAGAATGCTAATAACACCTATCAGTTTCTCCCAGCATTCAGATTTACTTAGGAACACACACTTGTGGTGAGGTAGCTGCATCTTAGTATTTATTGTTGAAGTCTTTTGCTATTGGAACGGTTTAGAAAGTAAATCCTGACTATGAGATCAGCAAACTGGAGATCATTGTGTCTTGCAAACTTTCTTATAGAATAAATGTGCCACTTAGCTGATTTTTGCTTTGATTATGACAACCATTGTAGTATAGACATTGGAAAAGGAAGTCCATAGGATAAACCAACTGTAACGATCATCATTTCAGAAGAAAACGAATTTTCTGATAATCAGCTCAATTTGTTATCTAACTGGAAAGTCCTCTCATCTGTCCTACCAACCCACATGTAAATCATTCTCTGTTACAACTGACCCATCATCTGCTGTCACTTGTATGTGGGGTTTTTTTACATTTTACCAGGATTTACTTCTAAAAGTTAAACCTATAATTTTTGGAAAGGAATATAAATTTTTATTCAATAGTATTCCCTCCCATTAACCACATTTCTACAACAAACTGAATTTTTATTTACTGGTGTCTGGAATAATTTCAATGACACATAAATTTTTATCTAATATACTATCTGAGTAATTATTTTTAAGGAAAATCTGGCTGTGTTCTTTTTATTCTTGTGTATTTTGTACTTAGAACACTTATGAAATTTCCAAACTGAAAGGCTCAGTGGGGAGGTAATAAAATCCATCCTGAAACCCCAGTCAGACAGAGAAACATTCCACTCTTTAATTGCCACTGTCATAAATCAGAAAACATTTTAAGAATCAAGATCTAAATATTCAAAATATGTAAACTTTCAAGGGAGGTGAGAAATTGAATGATGGGTCTCTTCACCAGTGACCTGTCTCACAACTCTTGCAATAATCCATTGGCTACGTGGAAAAGAAGTTTCAGCAACATAATTATCAAACTACACAGAAGTACTGGTGAAGCTCTGTATTCTTTTCTTCCCTGTACTTTTTTGAGATATGCCACTTGGGAGCTAGGTCACTTCCCAGGTCATGTTGTTGAAAGAGTTCACCAACAGTCTCCAGAATTACATCTGCAGGGTTCTTTGGCCTTAAAATATAACTGCCCTATGTCCTTCTTTCTACCTAAAGCAAACTCTAGGTTGATGAAGTGGGATGGTCATTTTACATGGGTAAGAGAGTATTCAGCTTACTTTGCCAGTGAGTGCGGAAAGCATGAAACAAGTTTTTCTTGAGGGTATCCCCCATACTTTCTTAACGTCAGTACTCAGATTCTCATTACTTCAGACTTCTGAATTATTCATACCATACATTATCAGGGTGTAATCAATCCCTTCCCTCTGGAACTGCCTGCTGAATGTCTTCCCTTCCTTCAGAACATTAATGTGCCAGCTTTATATTGCTGAGAATGAAGAACATACACTGAAGAGAAGTTATCACATGGAAAGACTAACAAGAACTGAGAACCAAATGCTTCATTTTGCTTAAAATATACAGTATAAAAATTATAGAAGTCGCTGGAGGATCATTTTTGATAGTTCTCCTGACCTTCAAAATGTAAAGATTTTTTTAAGCCTTCAAAGTGACTTCTGCACTATGATACATACTATATGCAATTAGAGCTCTCTTTTTCTTTCAGGGTTGTATGTCAAGAGATCTTGAAATCCAGCAACACCCATCTGCATAACTCAAACATGGTTAGCTTTTTAGAGCACAGGGGGCTTTGCAGTGCATATTGATGCTCTAATCTGAAACTGCATAAAGCACTCCTTCATTGCACTTCTTCATTTTCACTCAGAATAGAATACGCCACAGTCCATATATTCCAGGCCATTTGGCTACACACTTGGCTGATTGTGTCCCTTTAAGGCTCATCAATGGCTAGACTGCTAATATGAGTGGTACCTGATTCTCAAGATATAATCTGTGAGTTGGTAAAGCAGCCCAAGGGTAAAACGTAGGCTATACTTCCAAGGCACATCACCCTTGATATCACAGGCTCATTTTGGCAAAAAGGAAGATTAAAATGTTCCATGCTTCCCTAGCAGTTTGGATGAATATCTTAAAATCTACATTACTTAAAAGTTTTCTTCTGCTTCCGAGAGCTTATGAGGAAAAATGAGCTAGGTGACATGATTTACGTTGTGGCCCCATATATTTGTGTTACTCTCTTTATTTGCAGGTAGAGTTCAACTTAGCAGCTAGAGACAGAAGACTTCTGGAGTGGAAGTTCTTAAAAAAAAAAGTAAGAAAAGTAATTGGCTGAGCTCAAAGGAAAATAAAGTTCTTCTCAAAATCAGTTCAGCTTACTGAAGCTAAGAGAAGGATCACACAATAATAAGTAGTTGGGGACTGCCACTCTCTCAGGCCACTAACAACAACTAGATTTCTGGCTTTTTTTTAAACACATTTTTATTTTGCTTGTAAAAAAAAAGTCATATTCTTGTTTTCTGGGGAAATAAACCACACTGAGATACATGCTCTCAAACCTAAGGATCAGTAGTGTACAAAGTGTTGGTGGGTGTGAGTGTTTTTGCCTATGTCCCCATAGGCATAAACAGACTCATTAAAATTATTATTATTATGATACATTCCTGATGTCATCATGACATTAATTAAACCCCTAGACTGGAATGGAACTCTGCACTTTTTCTTTTAGGCCTCAGACAGGTCTCAAAAAAGTTCAGAATTTTCTCAAAATTTAACGTTTTCTCTGTCCTTATCTGCAGGATCAGATTTAAAAGTCTCCTCTGCAATAGAATTTACAGTCATCGGAACTTCTGTGGAAGAGGCACATATCAAAATAATTATTAAGTATTATGAATATGATGAGAATTATGAAATAATTATGAATTATTATGAAGTAACTCCTATGCTTGCAAAAACAGCTGAAAAAGGAGGAAGCAACTGATATATAGCAGTATAATATTCACCTGTTGTTCACAAATACATGGCACAAAGCTGTCACCATTAAAAGACAATCACTTTGTTTATTCACACTGGACACATGGACTCAAGTTCTGCAATGAGTTATACTAATGTAAATTTAAAGTAAGCTCCATGTGGGCACAGTTAATAAAAAAATCATAAAAAATGAAACTGAAGGTGAAACTTACCTGGACAAACTGCTGTATTTAACCTCTTTGGAATTCTGTCTGTCTCCACAGCTCTTTCACTAGGTGTGACCTGTCTGGAAAAATCTTTATGAAAATGCTGTCAAGGATGTAAATAAAGCACATGGAAAAGATGAATTTTTAAATGGTTATATCTGACAATACCTTGGCTTTTCATCCAATCTGGAATAAGGCCTAATATCTTGAAGTTTGGTTTCAATGTCAAAATATTTTCTTCTGCAAATAGTTCAATTCATCATTCTGACTTCCGTGTAATACTATAAACTGTACTTTTTTTGTGTTACCATAAAATCAAGTATACTGAAGCAATAGCCTTTCTAATCTAGAAATTTGATTTCAGCTCATGGGAAAAAAAATTGCTAGGGAAAGCACTTCATCTGCCTAGAAAATATGTCAAGAAAAGACAATTAATTCAGGGCTTACAGTACTTTTTTCCCCTCCCTCCGCCATATTGCTTCCAAAAGGGAATATATAAAGGAATTGTGTGTAAATTATAAACATATTATTTTCTCAAACACAGTCTTAGCTATGGCTAGTGGTCTTAGTTGCCCCTAGAATTCTTAAAAAAAACCTTAGTGTAGTGCTCTCTTTTTGGAGCTTTAAACCAAGATTTTCTCCACTGTATCTTTAAATCCATATCACCAAATACCTTTAGTGACATTAATAGTACAAATAATTTTCTTGAACAAAGAATGCCTCCTTAAAAGCTGCCAACCTGCTTTGTGACTGTGCTGTTTTCCTTTACAGCTGTGCTGTTCTTCCCCCACCAAACACAGCATCATACTGAGCTGTATCTTGGTTTAATCTGCTGCCTGTTCTGACAGAGTACAATAAACATTGTGCTGAAATATCTAACACGTCACTTGTGACTTTTTGTTTTCTTTTTGTTTCTACTTTAGGGTAGTGTCCAAAGGCAGCAAGAACTTTTGAAAAAGGAATGTTTTCACAGCGATGTAAGAAATAAAAACTATCAAGTATGTCATCAGAATCTTAGTGCTGCATTATGGTAAAGAAAATACTGAATTAGCTGAAGTAATTCTGTAAAAACTAGTGAGTATTTAATTATCAGTTGCTACTTTACCACCTGAAGTACCCTGGAGAGTTTAAAGACAGCATGTTTTCCAGCCTTAAGCTAGTTGAAATTCAGGGTGGTGTTTTCTCATCACAGTTTACCTTAGGATGTCCAGAGTTCAGCTGATTTTTCTGTAGGAAACAGGAATTAAAGAATACTCTTGTTACTTTGGAGAATAGAAGTGCAGTTACTCCATGCATAACACTCATTACTTGAGATAGGTTGTGAACCCTCCCTTACAGATGGTTCTTTAACCTGTTTTCCACAATTAATTTGCAGAATCCAGAGGCAGAATCACAGAATCATCAAGGTTCAAAGTGATCTTCAAATCTTCTAGCCAGCTGTCAGCCTAGCACCAGCATAATCACTCTTAAGCCATATGCCCAAGATCTATCCCTCTTGAACATTTTGACAGACGGTGACTCACCACCTCCTTGAGCAACTTATTCCAATGCCTAGCCACTCTTTCAGTAAAAACCTTTCTATGTGTTTATACGTTAGATAACCTGCCACCACTTGAGGCTGTGTTTTATTGTCCTTTCACCTGAAGTGTGGCAGAAGAGACTGATCCCCACCTTTTTACAACTTTCTTCCAGGTAATTGTAGAGTGCAACATCATTCTTGTAGTGACAGGTTTAAAACTGAACATAGGATTTAAGGTGTGGCCTCACCAGTGCCAGGTACAGGGGGACAGCCCCTGCTCTGCTCCTGCTGGCCACACCATTGCTGGTACAGGCCAGGATGCCGTTGGCCTTCTTGTCCACCTGAGCACAGCTGTTCATATTCAGTCACTGTCACCAGCATCCTCAGGTCCTATTCCAGTGAACAACTTTTCCATTACTCTGCCCCAGCCTGTGGCACTGCCTGGGGCTGTTGTGACCCAAGGGCAGGACCTGGCACTGTTCCCTGTCCCCATCAATCCAGCCTGTCCAGATCCATCTGCAGAATCTTCCTGCCCTCCAGCAGATCAACGTTCCTGCCCAGCTTGGTGTCTGCGAAATTACTGAGGGTGCATTCAGTCCCCTCATCCAGATCATCAATAAAGATATTAAACTGAACTGTCCTCAGTAGTGAGTCCCCAGGGAATGCCACTAGTGACTGGCTGACAGCTACATGTCACCCTTCAATTCCCCACCACCCTTTGGACCCAGACAGACAGACAGTTTTTCACTCAGCAAGGCGTGCACCCCTTCTTAGCAGGAGAAGCCATTTTCTCCAGGAAGATGCTGTGGGACATGCTTTACTAAAGTCCAGATAGACAGCACGCCCAGCCTTTCCTTTATCTGCTAAGTGAGTCACTATGACATGCAAGTTATTAGTTTAAAATTTTGGTGTTTCACTCAAACACACCAAGAAGAAAAATTTTAAAGAAGTCCTAGTTATTAGGTCTAAGCAACAGAAATAAATCTATGGCCATACGGTCCATTTTTACAACTGAGGACCTTTTTCTTTCATAACTTAAAAACATGATGCCTGAAGTCTCTGTTAGTTTCATTTGTATTCTTGTGATTTTCTCAGAAACATTTTCCGTAAAAACTCATTTAAAAACTCATTTTCTAATATCTATAGAAGAAAAGTAAGCTGAAATAAGATTGTGACTGTTAAAGTTAAGGCAACAGAATACCTCTCTTCAGAAAATTTCCAATATCACAACATTGTCATGATAAAGTTGAATGTAAGATTAGTGGCAGAAGTCCAAATTCAGCATTAGTCTGATTCACTAGAGGAAATCTTGAATAATAGAGCAGAAAAAATTGGAATGCCAAAATATTCCTTGTCCTTTTTCCTCCATTTTGGTCCTCACCCTGGAGTGGTTCATACAATATTCCATTTTTATTCCTTTTTTTCAAAGACTAGACATCCGCAGTAAAAAAACCTTGAAAAATACTGTTTTCTTCATTATGAAGAATATATAACCCATATGCTGACTAGTACAATCTCATTTATCTCATGTGCTTAGGGAGATGAAGAATTAGAATCTCTATTGCATAAAGTAGTATGATTAAGAGATTTGGAAGAAATCTGAACAAACCATACATTTTGATTTGTTGCACTAGTTACTGTTTGTAGTTTAGTGCAACTGTTTCCAGGCTCATCAGAATAAGTGACCCATAGGATGTTCACTCTTAGGAGTGAATGGAGAAAATGGATATACAAATAGAAAATATATAAATCACTAGTAAGCTTAGCTCTCTCTTTGTTTATGTCCCTTATCCCATCCCAGTTATGTTAAAAATGTTCCACTTCATCTTGAACATGCAAAATGAAAACTGTCAGCCTGAAAATACTGGTTCTTCATTTGCTGTAAACTCAGGTTTGTGCTAACTGTAGCCATAGGACAGTAATATATTCACATCAGCTTCTCTCCTTAGGCACATAACTAATCCCACTGAAACAAGTACAGCTACTTGCATATTTAATGCCTTGCTTGTCAGATTACCTCCAGTATATGGCAGTTGTCTTTTATCATGTGATAACTGAAGGAATATGCCTACCACCTTAACTCTACCTAGATTTTAATAGTAGTTTGATGAACATAAAAAAAAAATGCATTCTGCTGTGAGGAGAATGAATAAGATATAGGACCATTAGTGAGAACACTCATTATTATAAGGCAATATATAAAAAGTCTAAATTTAAAAATCTGTCTCTTTGTTTGATCTCTGAGTCTAATTATCCTGCCTACCACAAGCCCAGGAGAAACATCTGGCTTTGTTGTTTAATAAGTCTCTTGACATTTTAGCATTCTACACATGGAAAAAGTGCATTAAAAACATATACAAGTTATTTGAAGTCAGTTCAAGCTAAATAGTTTCCCAATGAGTTATTTTTGTTTCAGTTTTGAACCACACACATATTCAAATTAAATTGCTCCAGCATATATGTGCAGCACTTCCCTTGTCTAACCCAAAGCTCCTGGGCTTCCAAAGTTGACTCTTTGAAGCAAAACTCTCACGCATCTGCCCTTTGGAGTTTTGCTGTGAACTGTGGGCTTCTCTGAGCTATGCCCAATCCTAATAGTAAGTCTGGAATTTTTTACTTCCTAGATGATGCAGGCAACATCTCACAGGTTCTTCAAGCAGGGAACTGAAAGTTTCACAATTGGCTGAATCAGTTGGAAAAGTGATTCTGCCCAAATCTGTGAGAGTCCATGCATGCGCAGATAACCTGGAACTGTTTAGGTGAGCCATGATTAGTCTGTAAGCTGTTCTCCACTGCCAGTGCTGTTCAAGCTGCCAGAAGCTCCTGCTCTGAGGAACTGAGTTACAGTAACGAACAAGTTGCAATGTGTTTTGTGTAAAGCTGTACCAACTTGTTCACAGACTGTAGGAAAACAGCTTTTCAGGATTCACATATCTACTGAACCAGTTCAAGCATGAATCCTTAATGTGTTTTTAAAATGTATTTTCATAGACCAGCATGCTGTGATGCTATCATATAATGTGTTGGAAACAAGTTTTTTCTGTGAGGAAGGCTCTTGCTTATCCACCCCAGAACATGTCACAAAGATAGAATAAAAAAATCACTGTCTAAAAGTTACATCTCGGAAACACCAGCTTGGGTTAGAATTGCAACTATAACCTAGATGAATTATTCTGAAGGCAGTGTTTTTACAGCATTGCTTCAGCATGACTCAAACAGTAAAATAGAAACCAGCCATATAGCAGCAGTTCATTGGAGTCTATTAGCCTGAATTAGGACAGTAGAGAATATAGACCTCTGATCCTGGTCCGGGACATTGCAGAACTTAACCAGCTTGCCATCTGTATGCTGTATTCTCAACTCTTCTATACGTGCTTTATGCATGTACCTGCATGCTATATTTAGACTTTATACTGAAGAACAATGACTGTATGTCAATCATAGCCTAGGAATCCCCTCACAGAAATATGGTGCTCTGTAGAGGAAAGGAATTGTCCATTGCCACTTTCCTTAAGCAAACACTGTGAGAAGGAGTTTCTGAATCACATGATGTTCAGAAAATATTATGTGAAGAAACTGCACATGCTGTTCTTTTGTAAATCTTTTTGTAGGTAGAAAAAAATTTACGGGAATTTTAAGTAGGCAGAACAGAAAAGCAATAACATTTACAGAAAGCAATAGTCTTTTTCTTAACTCCTGTTGTTTGTTGATAAAATTTGTCACTGAGTATTGACTTATAACTAGGATTGAGAACATCCTACAGTAAGTATCAAAGACCTCAAGGATGAATCGGTCCAACCTTTCTTAGCAAAAGCGTGGTCCAGACAAGATGTTCCGGCATATGGTCTGGATGAATCACTGTTCAATGTTGAGGAATCCACAGTTTCCCTAGGGACATTATTCCAGTGGTTGATTGTTCTGACTGTGTAAAAAAATTCTGTTGTGTCTAATCAGAATAACCCCAAAAGTAATTTGCACCCTCATCTTTTCTATGTGACTCCTTGTAAAAAGGGAATCTCCATCTTCTTTGTGGCAATCCTTTAAATATGGGAACATGGTGATAAAGGTTCCCTTAAACTTTCTTTTCTCAGCCTTTTCTTTCTCAAGCTTGAAAAGGTAGATATAGTGTATATCAACACCACAGTTTAGGTAGCCTTTCATGCTCCTCAGGGCACTCAAAAGCCATGTTCTACCTTTCCTTCCTCCCTCTCTGCTTCTGTAGTCAGCAGGCTAGTCCATTGTCAAATAGACATCAAGCAGGATGCTCTGTAGAATCTGCAGAAGGGAAACACACACCTATGTGCCTCTCAGGCAGCCACCCAAGG